ACTGGTAAATCACTCCCTATTGGACCTTGGCTGAGTAGAGCGCCTATCGCATAATTAGAGGCGTCTGTTGTTAGAACGAATGGTTTACTAAAATCTGGAAATTGAAGAATTGGATTTTTGCAAAGTGTTTCCCTTAAGGTATTAAAAGCTTTTTGTTGCTCTTCTTTCCACAAAAATGGGACATTTTTCTTCAAAAGACTTGTCATCGGACTCGCAGTTTTTGAAAAATCTTTAATAAATCTTCGATAATAACCTGCTAAGCCCAAAAATTGTTTAACATTTTTCTGATTCCGTGGAACTGGGAATTTCCATACTGCTTCTACCTTTTTTGGATCTGGTTTGACTCCATTTTCTCCAATAATGTGCCCTAGATAGGCAACTTCTTTACGTAAAAACTCGCATTTATCTGGCTGAAGTTTCAAATTAGCATTATTGAGTCTAGACATCAATGCTTCGAATTTGATTTGGTGTGCCTCTAGGGATTTAGCGTAAATAACTATGTCGTCCAGATATACAAAGAGTTCATTTCCCTGAAGTCCTGTGAGTACTCTATCAAGTCTTTGAAATGCATTCTTTGGTGCATTCTTTAATCCAAAAGGCATTCGATTGTATTCGTAATGTCCGCCGTTTTGTTATTTTTCAAAAAAATTGTTTGATTATAGCCTGGGACAGAATTATAAGCTTACAGAACAATAAACAATCCGAATTTTTTGTTTCAGATGTCCAGAACAGCTGAAACCCCTTGGGCCAGCCACCTGTCTTTTTTTAAGATGCTCACTTTGGTGGCACAAAACTAGAAAAAAACATTGTAAAAAAAAATAAATTTTTTTTTTGTATACTTAAAGATGTCAATAACAACATATTATAAAATCAAAACGATCGCATTTTATTTTCTCATAAAAAAAATCCTAAAAAAACCTCTAAAAAATGTGCGTTTGACCAGACTACTACCTTAATGTAACGTGGTGCGCCCAAGTTACAAGATATAAATAAAAGACTATTAATATTAAAGGATAATTGTCAATTAAATTTTGAAGTACCCATATGTTTTTATTTAAATTTGTCAATGTCTCATAGATAAAGCAGAAGAGTTGCGATTTCTGGACTGCCAAGGATCGCTCATTCGGAACTGAATAAGAATTATGAGGTAAGTGGCTGTCGCACTGAGTATCTGCAACAGTCGTGAAGTTTATGAAAATATAGAAAGTTGACATCATCTCGTTGTTTCTCACCGAACGAAGCAGAGTGAAGTCCAGAGTGAAGAATTCGAATGCAGTGAAGGAAATGTTCTTGTGAAGAAGCTGAAGAGAGAAATATTTGAGCTGGAACAAAAATTACAAGTATTTTATTAATTTTGTATTAACGTATATTTCATGAAATAATTAAATATTTTAAAAAAATATATAAATGTCAGTGAAGTACTGGACGTTACTTCAATTTTAGCTTCCCGGTGCAGCACGCTGTGTAACAACTCGTGAACAACGTCGCTGGTTCGTTTTGCCTGAAAAAAAAAAATTAAAAGAATTAAAATCTCAGGAATTTCATTATTTAAACTTTTAGTCAAAGTATTCGGCCATTACCTCACTCACTGTCTTGGTAACGCTCCATGTAAGAACGGCGATAGGAAATACAAGGATGATAAGCCATGAGATAGAGTCTAGTAGAATAAAAAGTTTTATCTGCTCCCTGGACACGACGAATGGACCCAAAATGGAATAAGCGTTGTAGACCAAAGAATAAAAATAATAAGAAATTGCGAGTAGGATAGAAACTCCATAATATTCGGAGACCTCGAGACAGACTTCGCAAAGTGTCGTGTAAGCCATGTGCAGTTTCTTTATACTTCTGATTGTTGAATTATTGACTAATATATATTCAGGCAGGTTCAAAGGAATTCCTGGATAACAATCAGTCATGAGGTTGCTCTTGGGGATCAGAGCACGTAGCGCTTGATTAATGATCCTGAACCTACGTTCGATAAGAATCAAGACGAAGGTGTACTGAAGCACCAGCCAGTAGACAATGAAGCTAGGAACAGTCACGCTAAACAAGGGTATCATGTTCTCATCGAAGGCAATTACCTCCAAGACCAAATGATTTATCCAAAGAGCAATGCTTCCCAGAAACAAGAGAAAGAGCCAAATGCTGAAGTCGTCCCAAAATATATCATCCATCTTCAGCAAGACATGATCCATCTGTGTGATCTTGCCAGCAATTCGCAATGCAGTCTTCTGCTTGACAGTGTAGACCAAGATGGCTGTGATCATCACAAAGATACCGCCAGCTGCCTGCGCCGCTACAATCACTCTAATCAGTGGCGTCGTGTTTGAATACGATTCAGAGTAGATGGACGGAATGCTTAGGTAATTCATCACCAATAAGAAACAGGTGAGTAACACGTTATACATGGTACCGAATCTCGAATAAACAAATTGCATTGAAATATCAAGGGATCCGTCTTCGTCTGTTCCATTATGGTTTCCGGTATCTACCTTAGGGTCTTTCAAAATCTTGAAGCTTTTGGACCGTACCGAGAACGTAGCCAGTCCTATCACTTTGTAACTGAATATAAAAATTCGCAGAATTATCAGACTTATTTTTTCTTTTTGCATTTTAGATTATATTATTATTATTAGAGCAAAAAAATGCCATTTCTCTAATACGTAACACTTTTTAGTCAACTTTATTAGTTCTTCTTGCATCTTATTAGGTATTCGCACCTATCCACACTTTAGCAGGGCTCTCAGGGTTCGCCATCGTCTCGGTGACACTCCTCATTTCCTGGTGAGCAACTGACAAGAATTTCTTAAGGTGACGATTGGCTCATTCGTATATCGCGTGCGGCCATCACATAGTACCTAGAACGACTATACGTTAAATATTCAATAAAGCAAAGTATAGTGATAGTCTTGTCATATTCATAATTAGTAGGAGCCTCGAAGGCTATCTAGCATATCGATCCTACATCGATAGTAGCTAGAGACGAGCAAGTTACCCTTATTTTTCTAGCTTAATTGACTAATTGTGTTTTACAAGCTAGCTTCATTTTTAATTCAATTCAGAGGCACCTATTTAACGTGTTGCGAGAATCTGGAGAAATTAAAAATTTGTAACCAGTGCAAACTTGCCTGAACGAAATTTTGCTCAATTGCCATATTCATAGTTATATATTTCATATATAAAATATTTCAAAATTCCTTCGCTTAAAAATACAGAAAAAAAAACACGATCGTCATCAATGCGACGTAATTGAAAAATGATCATGCATGAAATACGATCAATGAAAAATGAAATTAACCTGTAGAACGAGATTAGTCAATTTAAAAAAAAAAGGGTAGTTTGCTAATCTACTGCATATACCTTATTAATATGCAAAGTGCATCCCACGGGGTGATAAAAATTGATCGATTTATCGCCATGGTTACTACATCGCTAACAAACGATCAGGCACATCGACTCAGTCTCAACTTAGCACTTGTCGTCGACAAGGCGTGAACATGCGAATTGATAAATAATAAAAACAAGAAAATACACAGCGTAGAGAAAGCAAGATCGAAAGGATGTTCGAAGAGTGTCGACTTTTTCAAGCAAGGGATTTTGTGTCTTTGCTGGAGCCCTGCTTCTTAATGTGTCGTGTCTTCGGACTTTTCCCTTACAAGATAACATCGGACAGACGACAAATCGTACATTCAAACTGGAGATTCATTTGTTCGTTAATTACAATGCTAGCGACCATTCTGACTCTAGCATATGTAATGTATGAGTTTGATTTCACCGACGACCTAGAAAAGAGAAACGTTCCCGGATTATTGCAAGGCAATTGCTATATGTTCCTTACTTTGCTTATAAGTATTTCTTCCATGTTCTATATAAATTCCAAATTAAAATTCCTTCAGCAGCTCAATGTCATATCTTCGAAGTTTCCGGAAAAAACTTTAATAAAAATATCTCGGGTGGTCCATGCAAAGGACATTTTCGGATTTCTTATTCTGTTCGCACAAGTAGGAAGTGGTCATACACAGGACAATAGAGGGATTTTGATAAATGCTTTTGGGTTATATTTAACAATAATGGTGTACACACTGGACATGATTTATGTCGACTGCGTCTACGTGATTTATGCCGGGTTTAAAAACGTCAACAAGCATCTTCAGGATCTTCGAAAGTTCATAAACAGGAAACCTCATCTTCTTCGCAGAGACTACCACCGGTACCAAAATCCTATAATTTTGTCGGAATTAAAATCACTCAAGGAAAAACATCACGACTTGAGCGAAAGTGTTCAGCAATTAAATAATGTTTTTGGCTTTCAAATTGGCACCACTGTCGCACTAACGTTTACCGAGGTCACATTTAGCATATACTTTTTACTTCTTCAAGAAATAAATAAGAAGAATCTTGAATCGAAGAATCAAATTTGGTATTGGCACTTCGTGAGGTCCATGACTTATCACTTCATAAAATTCCTTGTAATAATATTTACGTGCGAGACGACGAAAAACGAATCCCTACAGACAGGAAATCTTATTCACAAGATGCTCATTCGCATAGCTGACCTTGACGTTAAGCAAGAGGTATTCTAATCGTGTTATCGGCATACTAGTAAGCATAATCACGGATTTTGGAATTTTTGATAAACTGTGTGGGTTTGATTGCAGCTACAACTCTTTTCGTTGCAATTGCTTCACAGAAGCAATACCTTTGACGGCAGAGGAATTGCCATTGACGCTACGCTTCTTAAGGCTGTAAGTATTTCTTAAGGTTATTTTTAATCGGCAGGATAGATTTTTGTTTTAATATTATTAGATGTCAAAGAAAAAAAAAAAAAAAACATTTTTATTCGTAGATTGTTGGGGGAATCGCAACTTATATTCTTATCTTGATTCAATTTCTTCTATCGTCAAGAAAATAAAATATACATTTGAATCGAGTTTAAACTGTTATAATTGAGTCCGTTGAAGTCGTTACTTGAGCGGCTGGCAAATGGCAAAATTCTGTCTGCAATTTACAGATGTACAGTATTGTACCCAAATAAATAATTTAATTACATAATGCTGGTACTGATAGGTTAATAGGAATATGTGCCCGACCGGGCACGCATTCTTAAATGTTTTTTTTTTTTTTTTAATTTGATGAGCGCGATGGGGTACTGACAACGTCACCCTGTTATCGCAATGGGAGTAGCATCGGTTGCAAAAAATCCCCATTCTAGATCGGGCTCCGACCATCTCACCGGCATAGCACGGCCAAAGCCTAGTACGATCGAAGCCTAACCAAGGACTAGTACGATCGAAGCATCCGATGCCCATATCGGCGTCCCGGAGTATCGTCCCGCTCCGACCAGTGTTCCGCCGTAATGGGTTAGGGGACGAAAAAGAAATTACTCACTCGTTAGCGTATAATCGTTTTATTCTCAAAAGCACCATCACCATATAATCATCCATTTATTTACCCAATTGCACCAGGGGTGAAAAACAATAATAAAGAGTCTCCTGCTTGGCCGATCGCAGAAAGATAACTGACATTACACCGGCATGCACCTAGCCCGAAGAGCCCCTTGTGAGTTTAAAACATCGACCGGACTCGTCAACGGGAGGTTAGATGGGTAGCTCGGAAATGTTCCGCGGGGAATCCGAATCGATATAGGCGCTCACTGATTCAAGCGGCAACAACAGCATCCGACGCCGAAGATACAGCGCAGCAGCGATTGACGCACCCGCACCCTTACAATGGACAGAGACAGGAATCTGTTATATAATTAATCTCTCTGCAGAAGATCATTCACGTGCAATGAACGGTAAGAGTAATAGTATTTTCGAGTATCTTGTGCTTAAAGGAATGAGGTTATTGATAAGTATTTGTTGAATATTCTAAAATTGTTGTCTCCTATTTACAGATGTACAGTATTGTACCCAATTGCTTCTAAATGCTAAGGATATAAAAAATGAAGCCATAGAATGGGAAGCACTCGATCAATTAACTTCTGACGCTCATAATAGTATCCTGTCATGAAATGTATAATAGAATTTTGATATTTTTTTTTAACATTATATGCAATAATTATTGACAGATGGATTCAGATGGGTTGACAGTGCTATAAAATTACATGTATCGGAATTCAAAGCAAAAGAAACTTTGCTACATATTGGCAAATTAAGTGTTAAAAAGTTTTGGGAAATGATTTCGTACGTTATTTAATTGGTAAGTATTTTCTATCTATTTTGTTCATCTTTATTTTCTTCGTGAAGTAGGATTCCTAAGATAAAGGCAGCTAATATAATTCTGATATGACATAACAGTTGACATATTATTAGATTTTGAGAATTGGGTGAAATAAAATTGAATCCGATGGATGTCGTATTTCACAGTTTCCCACCAATAATTCCTCCATGTCATCATTTTTCATTAGAAGTGGAGCTGTATTACCAATAAGCTCGAGTTTTCGTTATAAGTAATAACGAATCCATTCTTTGAGCAAAACACCAACTGACCGAAATTCACTTCTTCCCTTTCCTTTTCCGTGCTCATTTTTCATTTTTTTCCATTTTGTTTTCTCACTCTACCTGTCGCCAGGTACGATTAATCAGCGAAATGTCTCAAGGTCATTTATTCGTAATCAACTGCGATTGATATTAATCATTTGTCCAATTTGTTATCGTTTCCGTGTCGAGCCTGGGAGCGTAGCAGTAGGAACGAAACAACTGAAAAGAACAAGAGTTATAAGTAACGGTCAATGCTAGAGTCTGACGTGCTACTGGCAAAAGTCAAAACCATTGAAAGAAAATGAAATAATCTAATATTTCCGTGCCAGCTTTTGTAGTGCGCAGAACAGTTCAGCGACCCATTTAAGGTTTCACAATTGGTCCAGCATTGAGATAGTATTGAGCGCTAAAATTTTTATAACGGCTTGATTTGAGCCTATCGATGGTAATCGATTCCGTCGAATTTCGTCGAAACTTCCCACCACCAACGCCCATCTTCATCCTAATAAGGAGGAAGACCGGCGAGAACTCTCATGGAGAAGATATCTTCGACTTCCCACTCTTCCTATTCAAGAAGTTTCCAACCTTTTTCCTGACGTCGTCGCCAAACTTCACCGAGGCCTATTATTTTTTGGATGTTAATATACCCCGTGAACTGAAATAAATCGAGAAAAATAAATTAAGACTCTCTGTTCACGATCAGCCTAACTAGCGCGCATTGGAAAGCACACTTACCAATTAGAAGAATTCGTGAATCGACCATTTTTAGAGATGCGTGTTCATTCTCTGAGAGCTCCTAGAAGAATGAGCTTTAGGCTCTGCGCCCTCACTCGAACGTCATAACGCACGCACACACGTGCATCGAGACGGTCGACTGTCGCAGTGGATGCCGAATCACTCATAGGAGATACTCGAGAATGTAAGCTGTGCTAGAAGAAGAATTAAAAAATTGATCTGCAGACTACGTCCGTGCTACAGCATCAGTTTGCAAAATGAAGGGACCAAACAAAGAGCGACCGAACGAGTTCGTGCTGGAGGGTTTCGACGAGATGGAGGATCTAGAAATAAGAATTTATGACAGATTCATAACAGTTGTATTAAGAGAAATTTCTAAAATTATCGATGATGAGAGAATGGTAGGGAGTGACGTGCAGAGGTGGTTTTTTATAAATAGTTTTGGATAAATGGTGCTACGTTTACATCAGGTACCATTTCATCTCTATCGAGAGGTAAGGGTGTCTAATTATTGAGCTATGAAAGTCTGGGCAATCCCGATGGGAAAAAAGTATGATCCTGAAGATAATATATTTTGAGAGTTAGACTGACATTCACCGGAGGCTGAGTTTCCTGAAGAACCTCTCGCAGTGTTACCCTGATCCGATCTAGTACGATTTCCATGTGACGCTGAGTTTTCGAACGAATTATTGTTTGCGAATGTGATGCTACGATAGTAGTATAAGTTTGGGAGTTCTGGACCAGGAGACCTGTAACCGACATATACCGACACTCCAGAACCTTCGAAGGTGGGTGTCCGTGCTAAGTTGCCGTCGTGAGCTCTACGATTTCTGAAAGTGACGTCATCAGAACCCTCGATTCCAAGAATTTTTGCTCGATTCCGGGAATTTTGCGCTCGATTCCGGGAATTACACACGATCGAGAACCATTTAGAACATTCTAGAACCTTCTAGAACATTCTGGAAGCTTCGACGGTTCGTGTCCATGCTAAGTCGGGAAGGTTCGCTCCCAGAGCCGGCGGTCCTCTCGCTCGACGTTTTGAGACAGCCCCTTGACCCCCACCCCGGTAAGCCTTCCAGAAGCTTCGACGGACTCGTGCACGTTCGTGCAGGTTTCGGACGTCAGCCCTCAGTCCGTTTGACCTCGAACGTTATCTCGCAGAATTGCGCA